ATTCTACAGATGGAGAGGCTGAACATGTAAGTGTGGATCCTTCACCGGATTCTGATCCTACTCAACAAACCTCTCTTGAGACCCCATCTGATGCTGATTCCAAGGCTGAGAAATTGCACATCCTATACAAGGAGCCTTGGGTGGAGTCTAAATTGACTTCCATGCTCTCTTGTTGCGCTGGGCTCACATGAAGCAAGAACGCGTGCAAGGGAAAACGAAGTTGATCTTCTTTAAACTCCACATTAATGGTTATTACATTCGTGTGTTGGCTGATTGTGGCGCAACCGTCAACTACTTCTCATCGCACGACATTCGTAAGACATGCAAAATCCTTGTCGGACCCAAGTGGGCAACCAAGAGGTTGTCACATCTACGCATGCAGTCAAAGGTGTGCACAATACCTTTGACGCAGACTGCACAATCACGCATGAATTGAACTTCTATGTCCTTGATAAGTACCCTTTGACGCGGTTATTGGTTTGGGCTGGTTGCAGGCCCAATGTGGAACCACGTGGAAGGACTCGCAGTTCATGGTCGAAGATGCCATGGGAATCGAGTGTCCAATCCTCTTGGATGAGCCGCACGAGTCCCAAGTGACTTTACTCAATGCAATGAAATTCTGCAAAAAGTGGTGCAGGCGCAAAGTTGATGAGCAAATGTGTATAGGCCTTTGTTAGGTCTGCTCATGTGCCTTCTATTTTTGTTGTACATAATGATTCTACTTTGCATGTCGTTTCTACTTCTAATGCAACTACTTTTACATGTACTAAATCTACTTCTAGTCCAAACGACTCTGCTTTAAATCGTGTTGTTTTGGCTACACCTATGCAATCCGGTATGCTTGCACCCGAGTCTGATGATCCACCTCCGGAGATCCCATCAGAGATCCGCAGCCTTCTCAACCGATTTCCTAAAGTTTTGGCCGAACCGCACGGAGTTCTCGTGTCCGGTCTGACACAAGATTGAGTTGGTAGAAGGCAGCACTCCTCCAAAGGGCTGTCTATCGAATGGGCTTATGCGAAATGGAAGAGTTGCGAAGACAGATCGATGACATGCTTGAGAAAGGTTGGATCAAGCCAAGCGAATCCGAATTCGGTGCACCAGTTTTGTTTGTCCCTAAGAAAGGAGGCAGGCTACGGATGTGCATAGATTACCGCGGATTGAACAGAATAACCAGGCAGAATGCATACCCTTTGCCACGCATTGATGATCTGCTTGATGCTGCAGGTGGATTCAAGGTCTTCAACAAGATCGATCTGAAGTGTGCAGATTGGTTAATTTTTGCTCATTATCGTTTTTGTTTTCCTCCTCTTTGAGCTCAATTACTTTCTGAGTCTTCTTTTGGATCTTCTCTGGTTCCTTGTTGTATTGTTTGGCCTGTTCCCTTACTGACTCTAGGTCCCAAAGAAAATCCTCCCTCGCTTTCTCCTCCCTGATGACGCGGGAGTCGTTCAGGGGGAGAGCATTGATCTTCGTGGGATTACCTGCTTCTTTGCCCATTGCCTTTTTTTGCTATCTACTATCTGCGGGGGGAAAGGCGTCGGGTTTCTTAGTTGTGGGCTCCTTGTCTGAGTAGTGCCAGACCCAGTCTGGGTCTTCTAGATTGTCATCAAACACCCACCCATCATAGGTGGGGTCCACTATGAACCAAGTTCCAGGGGCTTCTTCCACTTCCACTAGCATGTTGGGAAGGAGCTTTCTTTCTTTCTGATTCTTCGGGAATTTGGGGCATTTCCGGTCTGTACCAAGGTGACCTCGTTCTCTGCATCTGAAGCAAATCGGCGAGGTCTTCGTGGAGATTTGGATGTACAGTTCCCTGTTGTGGATTGCGAATTTCCAAGCCTGCGGGAAGACTGGCGGATCATCAGTTTTCACCTCCAGAATCGCTGTCATTGTGCCGCAATGGGGAGCCAGAAACTTGGAATTTGGGACTCAGGTTGTCTGCAGCATGAATCCTTAACTTGCATCTTAAAAATATTGGCGCAAACCAGGGGTTCCCGCCCGAACGTTCGGGTGTCTGGCCGAACGTGAGGGGGCGAACTTCCCAAAGTTGGGCCCCTGCCAAAAAATAATTTTGCAGTTCTGTAGCATGTAGGGTACATGCCTATAAATTTTCAGGGCATTTGGCTGATCCCAAAGAAAAAGAAAATCGTCGAAGATGGCGATGCCAAAAATGTGTTCGCCCACTCAGTATTTTGTTTTCTATTTCCTTTCCACTGATTCTTTCTTTTTCCTTTTTAACCTTTTTAATATGTGTGTGCCTGTGTCGTAGTGTGTGTGTGTGTGTGTGTGTGTGTGTGTGAGTGACTGTCTGACAGACAGACAGACAGAGAAAGAGAGATTGGGGGAGGAAGCGAGATAGAGGGGGAGTGTCTGAGAGAGAAAAGGGGGGGAGAATTCGAGAGAGGAGTGTAGAGAGAGAGAGGAGGGAGAGGGGGGGGAGAGGAGGGGGAGAAAGAGAGAGAGGAGGAGACTTTGAGAGAGAGAAAGGGGGAAAGAGCGGGACGGGGAGAGAGAGAGAGAGAGAGAGAGAGAGAGAGAGAGAGAGAGTCTTGCACACATTAGGAGTCTTTTTTTTTTTCCTATCAAATAATCAATCAATGATCAATCAATCAGTCAATCAATTAAGTAGCTGGTGATCCAAAGTAAAAAAAAACAAAATTATAGGCTACCAGAGTGGCCCGGGACCTTTTGCCCGACCGGGCCCAAAAAAGTGAAAAATAAAATAAAATAAATGATTTTTTACTTCAAATTCGGTAAAGAATTTTGATGTGGCCCTGAGGCAAAAGTTGTTCAGTTTATTTTTCTGCATAACATTGTTTTTTGGGCGTTCGGGTTCAGCCGAACATGTCGCCAATGGGGCCGGAACGTTCGGCCATTCGGGTTTGGCACGGCCGGACATGAACGCCGGCAACCCTTGCGCAAACTATAAAAATATGGATTTTCTCAAGACCTTGATCCCATTTTTTTTTCTCCCCTTCTTTTTTAGTTTATTATTTTCTTTCCTGTTGGCCGTGGGCCAAAGGCCAACAGCCCGACTCGGCCATGAACTGTTAACATGCAGGCCCAAGTTTGAATCCTGACAGCGGGCTCAAGTTTGAATCCCGGCAGCAGCCCAAGTTTGGATTCCGACTGCAGGCCAAACTTTGAATCCGGACAGCTTCGACCTATAACAAAATTGGTCAATTTCTCAGTTTATGCATGTCATCCCTGCGCGAAGGTCATGCTGATTTCAGCTCGGCCAATTCTGGCCGCACGATCTGAAGATCACGCGGTCGAAATTGGCCGTGCTTACTGCTTCACTACCACTGTCTGCCCCTGACAAGGTCGTTTCCATATGGGGCAATATTGGACTCGATCCCGGTATTTGCTACTTCAGAGATCGATCCGTTACCTATTGGGCTAGCACCTACTTCAAAAGTAGTAGGAGAAGCTTCTCTATATGAGAAGCTTAGTTCTCAGCGGCCTGCACATTTGCTGCTGCATGGGCCTTGGCCGCTTAGGGTCACCCTGCTCCCAATCCAAACGGCCGCCCAGCCCAGTAGTTTAGTGCAGGATCTCCGCACTCCAGAAGTGTACTCTTTGAACCCACCAGGGTTGGGCACAACTTTTGCTAGTCTTTCAAACCCTCAAATAGGATAATCTTAGAGAATAAGCTGGGCGGCCCATATCCTATGTGCCACGGCTGCGCATACGGCACGGCTATCTCTTTTAGCCACGTAGGCTTTGAACCACGCGGCTGCTTAGCCGCACATCCTGATTTCAAATAGGATAGGCTAAAAATGTGTCGTCCCCGCGGCCACGCGTCCTCTCACACTATCGGTTGACGTGGCGATCCAGCATTCCTACGTTGCGTCGCCGCCGCAGTGCACAAAAGGTCACACACTCAATAGCTCCCAGAAAACGTATGCTGTGATCATAACATTACCGCGCCTAAATTTCAAAACATCTGTGAACAACACTGTCTGGCGTCATAGTGCTTAAAAATATCCCACCTCAACCTGAAATTATCACGACCGCTTGTCAAGACAATGACCATGTTGCTAGCTTTTAGTTAACATTCTCGGATGCCAACAAGCATTTGAAAAGTTGTTAGTCTCTCAGTCATAAGCTCAGTTTGAATAACTTTTCGGCAGATGCGTCAATCTCATCAAGTCGTTTATTTCAAAAACTTCATCTATAAAGGTCAGACAATGTCCGACATAAGAAAAACGCGGACAGCGGGACCCTGCTCGGGGCTCATGCCCGGCTGGGTACCCGCTTGTGTATCTGGGCAAAATTGTGGGGTGCCCTGGTGCCCGGACAAACAGCCTAGGACATGGTAGGAGGTGAAAGGACAGAGAGTGGGTGTCATTCGACGAGCTGTGTGGTTAGAAAGGGGTGAACATAAAAAAGATTCAAAACAATGAACAAATGAAGAGACAGTGGTGATGTGTAACTGGCCGATAAAGTGGGAACAAGTGACAAGCGAAAAGTTGGAAACAAGAAAGAGGGAAACAGAGACAGTGGTGATGTGTAACTGGCCGATAAAGTGGGAAACGAGGTGTGCATAGAAGTCTGGGTTGTTCTGGAAGCCTTGAGCAATGGACTGGCTACATCAGTCACTGAGCACTGTCTTAGAGCACCACTACCTTTCCCGCTCTTGGGGAAACGGGTAAATAGCCTACTCCAAAAAAATCGGAGGCCGGCCTTGACGACGGCTGCCGTTGATAAATCTCATCGGCGGCCGTTGTTTTGTTTCGGCCTCCTGAAGAATCGGTGGCCTGACAGTGGCCCACATTGGGAGAAGGTAGTGGTGGTTTAAGGATGATTATGATGGCTCGAGTCCTGACCTTTACTATTTTGAGTTCTACATTACCCCTCTCAGGTACCGTTGTGCTGCCTGTTTTCCTTGGGCACTGGACTGGCAACATCAGTCACTGTGCACTATCTTAAGGATGATTATGATGGCTCGAGTCCTGACCTTCACTATTTCGAGTTCTGCATTACCTATATTAAGTACTGTTGTACTGTCTGTTTGGGATCTCTAATCTCGCAACTCGTGCATGTGGACGAATGGTATGAAAATTAGAAAACCTGCAGAGCGAAGTGCTATCATGTGTTTTACTTGTGACCTGTTTAGCAACAATGCAGTGAATCTGCAGAGAGAGAAAAAAAGACGAAGAAACCTTAGGCTACTTGGCGCGTATGCCCAGAGGAGCCCAAATCCAGGCTCCTCCTTTTTTCAAGTGTTGGCTGTCAACAGGACGAAGGGGGCATAAATTGCTTTTTAACAGGCCAAAGGGGTTCGGAGGGGAGTGCCTGTTTTGTTTTTTGTTTTTTGGTTTTTGCTTTTTTTTTTGTTTTTTGTTTTTTGGTTGGAGTGTTGTTTTCTTTTCTATCTTCGATTCGGTGAGGAATTCCTTGGTGACCCTCAGCCAAAAGTCGTTTGCATTACAATTGTACACAACATTCCTCTCCCCCCCCCCCTTTTTTTTTTCCCTCTTTGGCACTGGGGCTGCCGGGGACGCTGCCCGGGGTTCATGCCCGGCTGGGCACCTGGGCATGATGTATCTGGGCACAAGTTGGGTGCTTGGGCGCCCAGCCAAACAGCCTAGGAAGAAACCACAGACATGGTAAGAGGTAGAAATAGGTGGGGAGGGGTCCTTGCATACTGAGGACTATTTATCAACAGGTGCACATGAGTCTGCGAAGGAAACAAAACGAAAATGAGCTTGCTACGGGACCACAGAGCTGGCTCCTCTTCTATCATTTCAGGATCTTGAGCAGCATCATGGATGCATTGTTAAGGGTTTGAACTCACCAGATCTTTTCCAAACCACCCGCCATCATTAGACTCTAATAGAGAGTAATAGAGACTGATTCTAGCTTGAATTGATTGCAGATTCCGACTTCCTTGTTCTGATGTGCTGTCCATCAGGTAGGGATCAGTAGCCCTCATGCAGTGGCATTTCATTTGCCAGAGGAAGATCCAAATGCAATATCTGCTGCTGCTGCTGCTGCTGCTGCTGGATCATCAAGGCCGATATGTCGTGGTGGCAAGGACACCCCAAGCACATCTAACTTTGCTGGTTCTAAAGTGACGCCAGTGTCAATAGATCCAGTTTGTGGTGTTCATGAGTATATGGTTAAGGCAGCCCTGTTGCAACTGCGTGCTTACCTTATTGATGAGGATGTCGAGGTTATTGAGCTTGCCGCGGAGACGCTGAAGGTAATGTCTCGGTCATGGTTCTTCGTGGAATAGAGAAGCGGGTTGCAAATTTAGGCATGGCAGGGACATGAAGCTGGCATGTAATTGGGTAAATCGTCATTCTCAGTGGCAAGCGCACACTTTGAGATAACTGCAAAACATTCCATGTGAATTCAATGCCAGGGATCGAAAGAAAATTGAGATCATGTTTTATTCCATCTTTGATGTTGGTTTGCCCCTTCTTATGGGAAGGAGTGTCATTCTCTGTTTTGATGTTTGTCAGTGAAACACACCCTTGGTGTCACCTTTTGCATTGGTAGGTTGAACAGTAAGTTAAATCTGGAAACTCTCAGATAAACCCAGTAAGGGAAGCCCGTGGCTTGACGCTGTAGTACACATGGTCCAAGATAACGTCTGCTTGCTTAATGGAAGTCTACTGTGTCTCTGTTTTCCCGTCTCCTAACATCTGCTTGGCTGATGGAAGTTTTCCTCTTTTTTCCTTTCTTGAAGTTTCTTCCCGAAATTCTTCCTTTCTAGGTCCACAGGTGTATACAATCGTTTTTTTTTTTCCTTTTCTTCATTTTTTCGTTTCCTGAACTAAGGAAGGCCCTTGTGATATCATCATTGAAACCTGGCCCCAGGTAGTTCAGAACTATTTTATTCTGTTCATCTGGTTGCACTGGGATTTGAACTCGGGTCTGTATTTCAACAGCTCATGGGTGTACCAACTGAGCCAGGCCCAAAATCTAGCTTCTCTTCTCTACCATTCTTGAAAGAAATTCTTCTTGCTGACGTGAAAATGCCCTTATCGAACTCTGTGGGTCAATTTCTGCTGCCTCTGCATGCACTGTTGTTGAACCGGTTTGTCCTTCTGTCACTCTGTGTGTAAACTGGCATGTGAAGTCTGTTAACTGTTTTTGTTTTTCTTCAGACCTCAATGCTCCGAGTCTGGAGATATCAGAAAAAGGTTTAGATTTTCAAGTTGCAAGGTACCTGTCCCACGTGCTCTGGATGCTATAGAGGCCTTAATGGTTGCTGTTGACCATTGACCTGAGCGGCTGAGCCTTTAGCCAGCGGCTTCAGTCTTCGCTCGTTTTGGAGCTGGTCGAAAGGAGTTCTAAAGATGATGGATTTGCCATTTTCCTGTCTGGCCGTCATTGAAGCGCCTGGCCATGGTGGAGAAGGCAGTAGATTCCATAGATCTCGGTACTTGGCAATGGAGACTTCAGGGTGGCTTGAGGGGGTGGCATCCTAATGGATTTGATGGTGGGACTAGCCTGGGAAGTACCAACATACAAGCCTAGGCTGGAATTGGCCCAATACTCCAGGTTTTTCGGCAGCAGCAGCTACAATATGGTAGACCTTGGGGGACGAGAACACTTTCTTTGGAATGGAGATTCGAGGGTTCGTGGAAGAAGTTGGTACACTGATTGGGTGGCAAGAATATGCTTTTCACGAGTTTTCAGTTCATAAGTTCTATCTTGGTGCGCTGCTTTATCATTGCTGTTGTCATGCTCTGCAGCTCTTTCATGGATAGAAATTGATCATCTCTACAGTTGATGCAATCATTGCATTGAAGAAGATAAAAGGCATAGCCAGGAACAGAGTTCTCTTTGACTCGATTCCTCAGACCTCCTCAGAGCTTTTCCTGTCCATCAAGCATGGCTTTTCAATATAATTGAAGTTTATCAGCCGCCATGGACCACAGCTTGGGATCCGCCAGAAGAAAACATTGCTTCAGCTTCCTGTGCAGTGTATCCCTCCGGTAGTGCCTCTGGTCCTTGTTGTCAGAAGGCCTTCAGAGTGCCTCGCAACCTCCATGGCCTCCACTGACAACCACTAGGCTAGGAGTACCACAGTCAGTGCCTTGTAGACTCTGTGACCTCTACTGACGCCATCACAACCCGTAGGCAACTAACTCGAGAAGAGGGCTGTGTCGTCAACCGGCCGGTTGGACCCCAGGTGGTCCAACCGGAATTCGGGTTGGGCCCAAAAGTGGGTCAATTTTTTTTATTTATTTTTTCTTTTCAAAACATGGTTGCACTGCGCTCGCCAAGATCTCCCTGAATCCGGTGAGAAAACTTAAA